AATTCAAGACCAATACATCATAACTGTAACTTCTGCTGAGAAACAAAATTTTTCTCATGCTTAATTTACAAATAAAAAATAACCAACGTAAAAGATTTAGTAACACAGACATTTGTTTTAAGTAATAAATGTCAACTAGGCTTGCCATAGACAAAGCAGTGCTCTCAGCTTTTTTTCAAATTCAATTAACCTGTGACACTGACCCGCCTCGGCGCGGTCCGGCGCTCTGATTTTACGCGCAAGCGTTGATTTTGTCTGTCTGTTTAACACGGGCGAACATGAGGTCCACATGACGCAAAAGAGCAGGATATTCCTCCAGGACAGTTTGAGGGTTACTTCTGCACCTGAATGCGAGCAGAGAGTGAGAACTCGACGAGAAAGATCGCGCAGGTGTTCAGCAGCCCGAACCTCGCGAAGAATGCAACTTCTCACCTGCGCATAAGGTAAGTCACCGGAGCCGCTTGCGATACGCTTGAACCGACAGTCTCCTGCTTCAAATCTAAAAATCTTTATAGGGAATGATAAAGTGTTGGGGCATTTAGATAGGTATTTAGCGCTTATATATGTGAGTAGATGAACAAGTGCATGACAAGTGCGTCTTTATTCTAACGGATGCAGAGAATACGTTACATACGCATTGTGTCCATTATTATTGGTCTAATCACGCTATAGATTGACATTGAGAAGATTCATAGTAGACTATTGAATTAGCATCATTCATCCTGCCCCCTGCAGTAGCTCTATAAGAATAGCTCACACACATGGAGGTGCTGCTGCCTGTGTCGTTTGGTTATATGTGGCGATTTCTATTAATATCTTTGCTCCATTTAAATCATCCCAACCCACTTTAAGTGCTTTATATCATGGGAACATTATGACATATCATGCAATTAACAGACTATGATATATAAACAGATTACTATAAATATGTAGACGTATTGTCAAATATTTCTGCATAGGTCTCACAGGAGCTTTATTTTATTTTAATGCATTTTTATTATTTGTTTTTTTATTAATATTATTTAAATGTTTATTTTTGTATTTTTCTCTTCTTTTTCCTTGTATCTTATTTAGCTATTTTAATATTTTGCTTTCTGAATTGTACAGTACTCAGCTGCTGTTTTAAATGTGCTATATAAACAACAATTGAACTATTTTCTAGTAGATACCTATAACTAGTAGATACCTATTAATTGATCATACATTTGAACTATTTTGGATAGATGTATGTGTCAGTTTATGTGGTGTCGGAACTAAACTGCATCCACATCGAACAATAACGACACTATTTCCTTCTGCTTATAGCTGAATTGAACTTGCTTATAATTTATAAACTTAACACAGTTATTGAACTGAACTGGGCTGTGTTTCCCAAAAGCATCGTAAGCCTAAGTTGAACGCAGCCCTGAACTAACTCTGAGCTATGACACTGTTGTCTTTGTAGATCTGTTTTACAGGAGAACTTGGATTTGTCTCGTATTTGATGTATTTCGTGTCACTGATTCTGTTTTTTTTTTTCCTGTTATTACTGTAAAGCTGCTTCGAAATAATCTCTATTGTATAAATCAGTATATTACTAAAGGTGGTTTCAAATGAATCAAAATCCTGTTTTTATTTGAGTTGGACTCTTGATTGGCATTTTCATCTCTCTGTCTGTTTCACTTTTCTCTTTCTTAGAGGCTGCAGGCCTATGAATGGGACTGTGCTGTGGCCAACACTGCTTTCGGGACTTCAGTCAAGACTATGTGCTGCCCATGTGCCACTCTGAATGCACTGGCCAGCTGTTTGCGAGAGCAGGGAGGGTGGGGCGGCCCACCGGGGGCGAGGTGGAAACAGGGCAATGCCCCCTCCGTTCCGGATCGCAGTGCTGGGAGCTCAGGGGGTGGGCAAGACGGCCATTGTGCAGCGCTTTCTTCACGATGACTACAGTGAGGTGGCGGTGTCCAGTAAGACACGGCGGATGCATCTTTCTGCCGCAGTGCTCAATGGTCATGTGCATGACCTTCAGATCACAGATTATCCAGCCATCAGCAGCTTTCCTGTCAGCTCTCTACAGGTACAGTAACCAACATACCACAACCCTGGACAGAGTCTAATAATATGACTCTGACCTGACCCTCTGTCAGGACAAGGTTTATAACATTTGAGGTACCCAAACGAACCCACCCATAGGGAAGGGAAATCACTAATGAGATCTCCGCAGTTGAATTCTGAGAGAAAATGACCCTGTGTGTCTCTAGAATTGCAGAAATCTGTAAAAAGTGTTATTGTAGTTGTAACAGTAGGGATCAATTTCTACCTGTTCTGGCCTAAAAATGACTAATTCATTTTTTTGTTTTATTTAGTTAAATAATGGCCATGAACTTGTCTTTTCCCCTGCGTGTCATATGTGGGGCTTTGTACATTTTAGGGAACACATCTAAGACATTTTTTACAGTGTGTGAAAAGATTGTCTACAGATCTAAATATCAACTCAAATATTTCACATCAGATATTTTGAAAATCATCTGTATGTGTGTCAACAGATGATAGTTATGATAGTTATTGATAGTTATGCAACTCTGTTATGCCTGTGTGAAAGTCACATGTTCATATTCATTTACAGCAGGTATTGATTCAGATAACAATAGTGGTAATAAAATTCACTGTACAAATAGTATGTTGTAGAAACAGTTTTGCTCACACTTTTTTTATGAAGTGTAATTGCTATCAAATGAGAATTCTTAATTTTTTAGCTGATTCTGATATGCAGTCTTGGACACTTATGTAAACTGTTAATTTTTTTTAAAGGCATAAAACCATGCAATGCAATGAAATGCTTAATTTAATCATATATCCATGCAAAACGGTCATTTTATAAAAATTGCATGGTTCATGCAAAATCTTCTAAGTCCTATGAGATATTCAGACGTAGCAACAGTGTCAGAGGGTGGAAGAGCTTTGCGAAGGGCCAATTAAGCAGAATGTTTTCAGTATTTTGATATGGGCTCTGTACGTTTATACTCACTGAGTGCTTTATTATAGTAGAATGGTTTATAATGAACCAGTAGCTTGAGAGCACATGGCTCTGTGTAACACTTGTGATTTCAGACAGCTCGAAAGGATAAAAGAGCCACTTGAGCAGCAGTTCACTTTTCTTTCTCAGTGGTGTCATAATGATTCAGTGATTTAATTAGTGACATTGGGAAGAGACGATTCTTTCATAACTTTACATCTATAATTTTATTCCCAACTGGAGTTTCCTGTCAGAGAACTAGAAGTTAGCTTGGGCTATCATTAACTAAGCGATTTAGACAACTGTTGCTTCAATTGCAAAAGCTAGCATTTCTCCTCAAACCATGTCCATTATAACCACAGTAACAGACTTCTACTAAAACATATCATTTGTTTGTAAATTGCTGAATGTGCCTTCAGTGTGCCCTCTATCTTCACATTCTATCTTTGTCTCATGTATCTTCACATGGCCGATATACACAAATAGATGGGGAGAATAAGAATAGGGTGCTCATCCTCTATCCTGTTTTTACATGTATTACCTGTTTTATGCTCCTATCTCCTTGAGTTTTAACTTATTTCCACAAGCAAATCAGTTGTAAACTAGCACATATTAATCAGTTCAGGTTTAAAGGTTCTGAATGAATCATCTGAACATGAGTAATTTGAATCTCATAATGTTATGAATGCTTAGTGTTATTAGTTGATACTTGTATTAACCCGTAAAGCCTATTCTAATTTTAACAGTTTATTGAAGCTTTAGACACCACATTGAAAAAAAAAAAATGTATATGAATATGTTTTTGGGTATCATATCTGATAAATCAGGCTTTTACAGGTGCATCTCAATAAATTAGAATGTCGTGGAAAAGTTCATTTATTTCAGTAATTCAACTCAAATTGTGAAACTCGTGTATTAAATAAATTCAATACACACAGACTGAAGTAGTTTAAGTCTTTGGTTCTTTTAATTGTGATGATTTTGGCTCACATTTAACAAAAACCCACCAATTCACTATCTCAACAAATTAGAATACTTCATAAGACCAATAAAAAAAACATTTTTAGTGAATTGTTGGCCTTCTGGAAAGTATGTTAATTTACTGTACATGTACTCAATACTTGGTAGGGGCTCCTTTTGCTTTAATTACTGCCTCAATTCGGCGTGGCATGGAGGTGATCAGTTTGTGGCACTGCTGAGGTGGTATGGAAGCCCAGGTTTCTTTGACAGTGGCCTTCAGCTCGAACTTTTCCACAACATTCTAATTTATTGAGATGCACCTATATATATTTGATACAGGAGACTATGGAGCTCATACTTGAGGAGGAAAAAACCCTCAATTTTATTCAGAGGTCCAAACTGAGCAGAAATACACAATTCGGTGCAGTTGCTGATATTTATATGAAATTCCGATATCTTGCAATGTAAAATAATGAGAAATTTGGTACATTTAGTAAACAGAACATTATAGCAAACTACTTAAAATCCATATAAATACCCAATAATATGTTGTAATAAGATGATATTTAAATGCTCAAAGCTCTGTAGTTTTTTATTAAAACGTATAATGCAATAAAACACAGTGATGATTGAGAGATAAATAAATGTTCCTTGATGTAGGCCTATCATATTTGATACTTAAATTTTAACATGTTTTCTAAAAGATAAATGTATGGATTATCAAGTTGCTTTAGTCTAAATAAGTTGATTAAGTAGATTTAGCAGTGGATTTATGTGGACATATGAATGAACTATATGAGTATGAAATATACTATTAATCAGACAACAGAAGGCATGTAGTACATTGTGTATAATAGGTTTGATCATGTTGATAGAGGACTTAGACATTTGTGTATGAAATATGATACAGTAGGCTAAGGTTAACTGAAGTTTGGATTTGTTTCCCATGATCAGGATGTTGTGTTGCTCTGTGTCTATGCAGGAATGGTCAGATGTTTGCTGTCGAGGCATTCGGAGCGCTCATGTCTACGTTCTGGTTTATGACATCTGCTGTTTCGACAGCTTTGAGTATGTCAAGACCATGCGGCAGCAGATCTTAGAGAACAGGTACGTGATGCGAATATAGCCTCATTTTATTCCTTCACACCTTTACATCTTTGCACCCTTCTCTCTTCCTACTGCGCTTTATCTGCTTATGCCTCTGTTTTTGTCTATTCTCTGCTTTTTTTTGTGCTACTTTATCTCCCTTATGTTTCCCAACCCTTCTTTTCTTTTCTTTTTTCAATGTTTGATGCTTGCTGTAATTACACTCAAAAGGCGAGACCCTTCTGTAATCATGGGCTGCCAGCACACTGGGTCGTTTCTTCATCATTTGGATCCAAATCAAAACAGAAATGCCTTCCCTTCTCCTCTGCTGATTGCAAAGGGCATGTAATGTCATCAAAAGCCAATTCAAAAGCCTCCGAGACTTTTTGCTTTGTACCAGAGTAGGTTTGATGATGATGATGATGCCTATTTGTGATTGTTTTGGCTGTGTACTAATGCGTGTTTGATATCTCTTTGATATCATTTACTGTTTGACTTGATATCCATATGTCAACACTTTTGACGAGGTGCTGCTTTAATTCATCATCACATTAATGTGAACAAACACCTTTTTTCTTGCTTATTAAATAAGTTGGTGTTTTATAGTCAATAACATACATATCTGAGCATCCCTTGCACTTGACATGTGAGACTAATTTGTTACACAGTGTCTTGGACCATCCACTACCAAATAGTGTGATTGTACAAGTAAAATAAACTATTCAAGAAACCATATTAATAGGCAGTATTTTTATTTAGTTAAAATATATAAAACATCATTAAAACAAGCTAAATGTTTTATAATATATATTTATATTGTCACAAACTGTAAATTATTATTGCACAGTTCTATTTATAAAATGAGATATTATAACTTTATCCGCATACATACAGCACACTCAAGTAAAGTGATATAGCAATTCGTAACTGCCTGATATTTTTTAATTTATCACAAAATGCAACTCTATTACCACCCAGCTCTTTATATAAAGTTGGATTTATAAGTACATCCAACTTTATCAACATTCATCGTATAGATAAGACGATATGTACTAACTGCTTGATTGCTTGTATCACCGCAATATAATAATATAATATAATATAATATAATTTGACTTGTTTTCAGAGAATAGATCTATGTACACAGTTAGGGTTTGTGAGATTTATGCTTAAAGATTAGAGAAATCTTTTTTAAATAACAGGTAAAATAACAAAAAATATTTCTTTATGCCCAGTTTGTATAAATTTGAATTGCTAAAGAGAGAACAAATTGGTTTGCAGAAAGAGGATAGGATCCGAGATGCCCTATGTATCAGAGTAATACACACAGTGACAGTGATGCTTCATCATTATTTAAATTCAGCTCAGTCACCGATTGGCTTAAACGGTCAGTGTGGGCGTCCGCGGTGAGCCTGTCACTCAGAGGCAGATTTATCGCAATCAATGGCGTCAGCTGTCATGCTTCGCTTCCGTCAAGGCCTGAGCTGTGAGGCAGGCGGTTCCGGTGACAAACATACATGTTTTATTGATCCAGGCAGAACACAATTAAGTCACCTTGGCCTGACACTGCCTCACAGCCTCTGCCGTAAAATACGCAGAGGATGGGCTGGTTCGATTCACTGATCTGATCTGCTAATACCCAACAGAAGTGAGTGTGCGGGCTGTCAATCGTTCCTGTGATAAGACAGACCCTGTTAGTGTGAGGAATTAAAAGAAAGACAGTTAATGAATCTTTGGTGAAACAATAGCCATTGTCCTCATCTCAGAGAAAGTTTTGTATTGAGCTCTGTTAACGTTTCTTATGGGTCCATGTACATTAGCTGTCCAAAATATACAATAACTGACAGCATTAAGGCATTGTAGGCATGTTATAATGACCTTGAAGACTGTTTCAAAAGCTGGGCAGCAACATTTTGTTGTCTTCTTAAGTTACCATCTTTTCTTTTTTTTTTTTTTTTTGGTGTGTGTTAAATTAAAATCTAACCCCACCAGCTAAAAATATTTATTGTGGTTTCATTGCTTCTCTCTTAAAATTACACGTATGTATAGCCATTCAATTCTGTGCCAACCAACCCCACAACCTGCACAGCATGAGTTTGTCAATAGCTTTACAATTGCACAGCATACCTTTATGAATAGGAAATATTTAGTGAAATGTAACTGTTTTTTCTTAGAAAAATAAAAATTGCATTTGCACCTACTATAAGTTGTGTTTGTTCCAAATGTTTGTTCCACCTTATTCAATGAAGAATGAAAATTGCGCCAAAGTGTCTCATGTATTTTCATCTGTTTTTTACTAAGCTTAGTCAAGCACTAAAAGTATAGATAATATAAATTCTGAATGGCTTTTTTACCCGTATTTACCGTATAGCACATATGCAGCTCAATGCAGTTGTAACAAGCAGTTATTTGAGTTACTGTTGCCTTTCTGTGAGCTTGAACCTGTCAGTCCTGTGTCTTGTGCTTTGTTCCCCACATGTTCCATGACCCAGTTTTCCCTCTTGTTTGATTGTGTTATTTGGTCCAGGTGTGTGTCATTAATTATCTTCATTTGTGCCAGTATTTAAAGTGTAGTTTGCCCTGTCTTCCTTTGTCCGGTATTGAATGTCTTCTGGTCTATGTATGTTCCTCCATGCTACGTGTGTTCTTGTCTGCCCTGTGTTACACCACCTGTGGATGATTAAAGACTGTGTTACTGAGAATTCTCCTGCGTCTCCGCGTTCTCGTTGCCCCTCGCTCCAGCACAGTAGCAGATCGTGACAGAACCAGTCTGGCCATTCTCCTCTGACCTCTGGCATCAACAAGGCATTTTGCCCACATTACTGCTACTAACTACATTTACATTTAGTCATTTAGCAGACACTTTTATCCAAAGCGACTTACAAATGAGGACAATGGAAGCAATCAAAATCAACAAAAGAGCAATGATATGCAAGTGTTATAACAAGTCTCAGTTAGCTTAACGCAGTACACATAGCCAGGTTTTTTTTATTAGGTATTTTCTATTTTTTGGACCATTCTCTGTAAACCCTAGAGATGGTTGTTGTGCATGAAAATTCCAGCCGATTAGCAGTTTCTGAAGTACTCAGACCAGCCCGTCTGGCATCAACTGATGCCAAGTTCAGAGTCACTTAAATCACCTTCCTTCCCCATTCTGATGCTTGGGTTGAACTTCAGCAGACCGTCTTGATCTTGTCTACAGTCCTAAATGTATTTAATTGCTGGCAGTGTGTTTGGCTGATTAGACATTTGTGTTAACAAGCAGTTGAACAGTGTTGATACAGGAGTGTATAGCGAGAGAGAGAGAGATGCACAGCAAAATCCCCAGAGTTAAATCAACTCTGCTCAGAGTACATATTGTCCCAATCTACAGAGTGTTAAAGTAACACTGAAGCAGAGTTAAAGTTAATGGGATAATTAAGCAATTAATTATTTAATGAGTGAGCATTAGTAAAGAAAACCCGCTGTTAACAATGTTGAAGATGAACAACTATCTGCTCAGGCTTTTAGACATAAAAATGTATCACATAATCCTCAACAGTGGTAACTCTGCTTCAGTGTTACTTTAACACTCTGTAGATTGGGACAATATGTACTCTGAGCAGAGTTTATTTAACTCTGGGGATTTTGCTGTGTGGTAATAAATTAACAGCAGTTTCTCCGATTGGTGGATTTTTCTTTAGGAGTGTAGTTATACAGGAATTTGGCAATTATTTATTTACTTTTTTTTATAAGGCTGAGAACAAGTTGACATGTGGCTTTTACAGTAGCACATATCATCACTTAACAATCACGATAAATATGTCTTGAAAGGTTTATTATAAGTTATTGCTATTATTTTCTCTATGAAGAAAATTAATGTTTTTATTTTCATAATCATTGTGGTGCTGCTGTGATTAATGTGTTGTGGCTGTACAACTTCACTGGAGGAGCATTATTTGGTGTGTGGAGTTTCTGCTTATGTAGAGCATCTCTAATTAGACGCCTATGGGATTCTGTTAAGGTTAGGACATAGACAGGCGGTTTTGGAACAGACCCTTTGAGTTTGTAAGTCCCCAATGGCAGTTAATGTTATAGTCCTTGCCTTTCAGTCAGATCATGTCAGTGAAGGATGAATTGATGTACGCTGCACAGCAATCCAGACTGACAGTCAAACCAGCTAAATTTGAAAGACTAAATGAATGAATCAAAGACTAGATTGAGTTAGTGAATGAATGAAGAATGAATGTGGTAATAAATGAATTCTGTTGCAGAGGGACTCTGCTGTGTTTGAGGATGAATTGAGTGTGTCAGAGATCAGAGAACAGAGCTGTCTGTCACAGACAATGACTGATGGACAATGCTGGTGGTTCCTGTCAATTCAAGACCCAGAGTCACCCGGTGACTGACAGCATGAGGTCTAGAGAGGTTTGGGGCTAATTGTGTTTACGATCCAATCTTCTTATCAGTACACGGACACACATCAGGCACATTTTCTGAGGTCAGCTTTGAATGACTCTGAAGTTCTGTTATGAATCCACTTCTTTGGACACCCAGAGCTGTAGCTGTTAGTTCACCGTTTTTTCCATAGAAGAGATCTATTTTTAGCTTTCCTGCCCAGTTTATATCAGTCCGGTGCAGCTCTGTGGAAAGCCTCTGTGAAGTGAAACAATTGGAAATCTATTTGTCTTTTTTCAGAGCTGTCAGAGGCACAGGTAATCTCAAACAGAGATAAGCGAGGAGACATGAGCTCTGCTCTCTGTTGGAGACAGGACGAGAGGCCGATAGAGCAGCCCAGCTCCCTGTACAAATGACGGCTTCACTTCCTGACAGCTTGTCACTGGAGCAGTCTGCACACGCAATACGTGCGGGAGGCTGCTTATAGTCACCAATGAGCTAAAGATCCTGTCTCAGACCAATTTCGCTGTAATTGGCATGCCATTTAATAAATTAAATTTGACTGGCTTTTTTATTTTTGGTTGTGTTTCAACACTGAACCAATGGTTTTCATATAAATGTAAGATTTAGTTTACTTTTATTTTTAATTTTAATTTATGTAATTTAAGCAGGTTATATTAATTTTCAGACAAAATGTATCCAGTAAAATAACCCAATAAGGCCCTACTGTATCATATTTGATACAAAAAAAATCGAAGGCCTCTGAATTATCAACATAATCAAAACATGCCTTCTGTCATCTGATAGATAATTCATATTTTTTTATCAAGTAAAAGGCCTCAGTGTCATTCTAAAAATGTCCACCCTCAGGTTGTAGTACTCATGTCTTTTTACTGTGAAATTTGGTTTTCATAAAGTAAACATAATAATAACTTTTATATTGTTCAAGATTAACTTTTACTGGACTGAATCAACTTAGGTTTACATGATTTTTTGTTTTTTTTAGAAAAACTGATGATTGTCCAAACTTTTTTGTAAAATTGAGAAATATTTATTTGTACATCTCTCAATCATTGCAAGCTATCATAAAGAATTTCATCTTACTTTATGGCCAAGCAAATATCATAAACTGGACCAACTATATTATATTTTTTGCTCAGTTTGGTGCTTTGAATTGAAGTGTTTTTTCCCCTCCTCAAGTGTGTGCTCCATATTATCATACTAGGCTATATGACCCATAAAAGCCTAATATATCAAATATGATATAAAAACCTTGAGTATGCTGTGCATATGCATTTTCTAACCGTGCATTTTCTGTGCATATGCAAACTTTTTTTTTTTAAGATTTTTGTTTTATATTTTGTCTAAAATTTCAAAAAACTATTTGTATTTCAAAATATTACATTTTTAACATATTTCATATGTCAGGCTTTACAGAATTAAATTTTTTCTCCACCAGTGAAAATAGTTCCGTAAGAATCTAAATACATATATACATAAATAAATACATAAAAACTAAAAATATTCTTGAAAATATAAATATTTTAATGTTCTGTTTAAGGACCCACCGATAGTCAGGAAATGTATGCCAGGGGATATGAATTTGTAAAATTATTTGTGTGTGAAGTGTGCAACAGTAGTATATACCAAATAACATAGCAAATGTCAATGTTTATTAATCTTTTTGAAAAACAAAGTATGGACAACCTTTATTATATATGAAAAATGATGCCTGTACATTTAGAATATAATGGAGATGTGTTTGGATTATAATTAGACATACAGGAGTATGTCAGTAAAATCTAATGTAATAATTTAAAATGTCTATTTTTAAAAACTTTGTTCACCCAAAAATGAATATTCTGTCATTATTTACTCTCTCTAATGTTATTCCTGACCTGCATGACTTTATTTCTTCTGCCCATGCTATGAAAGTTGATGCTATAGTGTTAGTCAAAATATCATCTTTGAATATCTTTTTTATAAAAAAAGGAACTAAAGAAAGGCTTGGAATGACATAAGTATAAGCAAATGATGACTGATGAATTTCTGTGCTTTTTCTGTGCATTCAGTGCATTCCCTTTTTCTTTAACACTGAACCCAAGATGCTGTTCCCATGCACAATGACATCAAATTATTATATGTATTATGCACAGGCAAATGCATAGATGTATACTGTGCACAGAAAGTTGCATAAATATCTGAAATTGAGCCCAACAGGCTGTGGGTATGATTAAATAATTTCTGCATCTTTAGTCACCTGAAAATTAATGTAGATTTCAATGGAGAAGTCGTGTAATCCTAAGCCATCAAAGGGCTAGTTGTGTCCTTGTATCATTTACACCTTTCAAAGCCCATTAACAAATATTTTCTAATATTTCAGTGTTGTGATGCAAGATCATCGCTTGCATCTGTGAAGTAACCACAGAGACAACAATTTGCCTAATTTCTCTATACAGAAAGAAAGACATTTGTAAAATGACATGCAAGATCCTGAAACAAACAGTTTAGGCATATTTAATAATATTTTTCACATCTTTCCTGCTGAAGATGAAGTGTGATACACAAGCTTTAGGTTTAGGTTCATTTTCAAGGTAACGGCAATACAGTTTGATTTGAAAAAGTCTTTCAGTGTGATAACTGTACCAAGGCTTTTCCTAGAAAGTTGAAAAGAAGTGATTTCATCTACACGAATGCCGCTGTTCTATATGTTGCCATGGATTTACACTAATATGCATCTTGATGCATGATATGCCACTTTATTCTGAAAGCATCCAGAATAGATGGATGCAAAGAGAGCTTCAGACAACACTGATATAGAGGTTGTTGGATTTGGCCCAGACCACATTAACTGTATCAGTCTGATGAAATTGCAAACCAAATTGATTCTCTTGATGAAGACATTCCACTTCATCAGATGCTTTACAGACACAAAAACATACGATCACAGCAGGACCTTTATAAAATATGCTATATTAAAATTTTATTAGAACCACATTTTATGAGCTGGAAAAACAGATAATGTAGTCAAATCTGTGTTGCCAAAATGAGAAACCATTAGTTTGTTGCCTTTTTCAAACTAAACATCTGGTTTTTTTTTTTTTTTGTTTTTTTTTTGTTGTTTTTTTATGTATTTATTTATTTTTTGCATGTCCGTAACAGAATGCTTTTGCAGAAAGACCAAGAGTCATGAGGCACAATGTCTGTTATATTTTCCATATATGTTTTATTTAGTATTATATTAAAAAAGAATTCAGATAAATTTCTTATTATTCGCCGATGCATGGCTGAAATTAAAATATTATGCTATTTTTTAGTACATAAGCATTAGCCCTTCCTTTGTGTGTTAATTTCAACATATCTTCTAACGTCAAATAGTGAACTAACAATTCAAAGACTTTTTTTTAAACAAACAACCAACATCACAGAAATACGTAAGGATGACCTGACATATGAATGTTGAATTCACTTTTAAATGTAGCTCTCCCAAAAATTAGAATTCTGTTATCATTACCAAAGCGTTTTTTCCAGAGGCTAGCATATTTTTTCAATTGTTTTCAATGGGAGCACTGCATTTTTAAAAAATGCCATGTCTTTTCAAGCTGAGTGCTGGGCAAACAATAGTGTGTTCAGTATTAGGATTTTTCAGTGTACTAATTTTGGCATTTAGGCATTTTATTACATATTTGTATGAATTATAGGTTTAAGTCATTTTAAGAGAAATAACAACATTATGTGCCAATGAGGTGGTTGTTTTGCAACATGGTGGACACAGTTCTGTTAAGTGTTAATAAAAGTAGACCTGCTGGTAAAGAAGTGACAGGTACAAGAAAAAAGGGAGAGACAGAGATATTGGAGAAAATGAAAAGGAAAAGGGAAGTGACGGTGCAGTTCAAGAGAGAACCTTTAACTATTTTCCACGGCCCCGACTAAAGATTTAGACCTTTTTATGTGATGGTCATACAAATAGGCTAATAGGGTTGTCCGTGTTTCAGAATTTGTTGTGAGTGTATGGAATAGCCTGAATGAGTGTGAGATTTCCCGGCCTGAAATTGTGTCCCAGTCCACCCCTGGTTAATATTTCTTGTCTCTGAGTATTCATGTCTGTACCAGATGGGAGTCCCGAACTACTACGAATATTGATATGAAAAATAATGCTTGCAATATTTAATTCACGATGCGTCTGCCACATTACTTCTGCCTACATTCAGTATCAAAGCATCTCACAGCTATGCGTTTTCAGCAGAGCGCCTGGCGTTTTCATCTGGCTTAAAACGCTTTTGTGAACACACGGCCTACCTCACTTTCATGTTGTTCCAGACCAGTATGACTTGCTTTATTCCATAGAATAAAAAAGAAGATATTTTGTGAAACATTTCAGTGTTTTTTGTCCATAAAATAGAAGTCAGTGGTCAACAAAACTGTTTGGTTACCGTCATTCATCAAAATATCTTCTTTTATGTTCCACAGGCGAAAGAAAGTCATACAGGTTTGAAACAACATGAGTAAAGTAGAGTGAGTAAACTATACTATACAATTTTTTTTTTCTATTGACATTTTGGTTCCATAAAGAAACTTTAACATCCATAACAACATACTGAAAGTTTTTTTTCTGTGGTGTCTGTGGAATATAATTAGATTTGAGCCATCTTTATATTTAGAATTGTTTTTGCTTTCTATATTTATAGCATGTGTGTATCTTTCCACAGAGTTATGGGCTCTGGAGAGACGCCCATTCTGATTGTCGGCAACAAACGTGATCTGCAGCGAGGTCGCGTCATCCCTCGACACAGCGTATCTGACTTAGTCCGAAAGAGCTGGAAGTGTGGATATGTGGAGTGCTCTGCCAAGTTCAACTGGCACATTTTACTGTTGTTCGGAGAGGCTCTCCGCAGCGTGGGTTGTGCCCGCTGCAAGCACGTCCATGCCACCATCCGTTTCCAGCGGGCGCTCAGGAGAGAGAGATGCGTCCTAATGTGAGCTCGCTGTTTCTCTTCTACAGAGCTCATTCTAAAGCGGTTTATGGCTATGGACACTCCATTATTGTGTGGGCAGCTGGAAGAGCTGTGATAACCCTCATGCCAAGGAACTTAACATTTGGGAGTCTAACTATGGACAGACAGATGTGGGCTTATAACAGGAAGTCCCTGTTGCTTCATTACTTAAGCCTTCAAACTGATGTCTCCGCTTTTGGCCTGGAAGAACACAACCAACACCTCTGCCTCTTATCTTAGAAATCCAAACTGCCAAAAGGCTGGTGGAAGACAACTAAATTCAGCTTTAATATTACGTTTAATACACTTGCTTATGTTCAGGCCAGGACAGCACATAGACGCTCCTCTATGCTTATGAGCTTAAGGATCTTCTAGTTCCTGCAAGCAGAAGTGTTTCCCAGCTCAGGTGCCATATGCAGGCACTGATTCGGCAATACACCACACAACACAAATTATACAAAGAATCTATGTTCTATGGATACTTCTGTGTTTTTAAAGGGATAGTTCACTGACAAATGGCATAATATACTCACCTCTGTGTTGTTCTAAACCCGTATGACTCTGTCATTTGTGGAACACAAAAAGAGAAATTTTAATAATGTACTTGTCGCTCTTTTCCATGTAGTTACATACAATGGGGAGCTTTCAAGCTTCAAAAAGGATGCAAAAAAACAAAAAAGATCCATACTGCTCCAATACCATACAATAGCTTTATATAGGAATTTTATGGGAATTCACCAAAAATCTTCCTCTTCAGTGAGCTTCAGTGATAACCCTCTGCTGCAATCAGGAGTTGAGCTGAGTTGAACTTGAACCAGGGGCCTCAATAAAATAAAATGTTGCATAGAAATTGTCCTACATTTGATCATACGATCATTTCTCAAATGTGCATACGTGTGATTTGGAGAATGAATGCATACGCTTCTCTTTTAGATGTTAAATTTATAAATAGCAAATTATCTTGAAATTGTGCGCAGCTGAATGGTTTCAGATTTCAACTTGTAAGCGCAGCCTAATTAATGTCATTAACATATAATAAGCAGCAGTCTACGTCCAAATCCTTTACTTGAGAATGATGAGCGACAAGAATTTCTTACATTTCTACTCAGACACTGAAAAGTGCATATACTGTATCTGCTTGGACACTGACATGGCAATAATCACTTTTCCACAGACCGTTTTTATAGATCTGAAAGTTGGTGTGGATTTTAGCGTACACACCCTCTAAAAACAGTTTTGTGAATCTGATCAACCTATTCATTGAAAAGATCTAATAAAGGTTCATTCATAATTTGGACATAGCTACTTCCAAGAGCTTGGACCTTGGGTAGATGTAAAGTTTTTCAGTGAAAAACAACTTGAATTTCAGTCTGTTTGTGATACAAAGCTCTTGAATGGCTTTGTAAGACTTGCAATATAGTGCAGTACAGTATTATTTAAGCATTATTTTTATACTATTATAATATTCATTCATATTTTGAATTAGCTTTTATTTTTATATTTTCAGTGTTTATTTTATTTGTCATTTTTATTAGTCATTATATATATATATATATATATATATATATATATATACAGTGGGTA